CACTAGAATACGGGAAGAGTGACGATGCTCATGGATCAACCTAGCCACGTTCCTGAAAGTGACCTAGAGACTCAAAACAAACCTATCAAAATACCAACAGCATGCTTCACAGCGCTAGGAAAAAAGTTTTAAAACTCATGCGGAAACACAGAGGACCCAGACTAGCCAAGGGAATCTTCAGCAAAGAAAACAATGAAGGCAATATCATGGTACCCGATTTTACGTTGTACTACAAAACCGCAGTAACAAAAACATCACGGTACGGGCATGGAAGTAGACATAGACTAATGGGACAGAGGACACAGAAACAAACGCATACAACTAAATCATTCGGCCCCTCACAAAGGAGTCACAAACATACCCGGGAGAAAATATGGCCCCTTTAACAAACGATGCAGGAAAAGCGGGGAATCCATACGTAGAAGATTCAAACTACACTGCTGTCTCTCACCCTGTAGAAAAATCAATTCAAAATACTCACAGACTATGGGCAAGGCCCAAAATGTTTTAACCACTGGGAGAAAACTTAGGGGAAACACCTGAAGCCTTAGGCACAGGCAGAGGCTTCCTGGATAAGAGTCCAAGAGCACCCCGTCCAGTCACAGCAAGAATCAACAAATGCAACTGCACCAAACTACAAGGTGTCTGCACAGCAGGAGAAACAGCCACCAGAGAGAAGAGACAGCCGGGAGAACGGAAGCAAATCTTTGTCAGCTGTTCTCCTGGTATAGGATTAATATCTAGAATATATAAAGAATTCAAAAAACTGAATGCAAAAAAATCATGCAATCCAACAAGCCAATGCAAATCAAAACTAGGCTGAGATTTCATCTCACCTCAATCACAATGGTTATCACCAAGAATACAGACAATAAAGCCTGGAGAGGAAGTGAGGAACGGAGCCATCTCCACTGCTCATGGGAAAGTAAATGAATACAACCACTATGTCCACTCCTGAAGGAACTAAAGGCAGGTCCTACAGACAGAGCTGCATGTCTGTGCTCACTGCAGCACAACTCACCATCGCGGAGGCACAGAGACAGCCTAGGTGCTCATCAAAGAGTAGGTAAAGAAACTGATCCACGTACACAGGGACGTACTGACCAGCTGGGGAGAAGATGGGAACCCGCCATCGGCAGGAAGCTGGGTGGAAGTGGTGAGCGTTATCTAAGCGAAGTAAGCCTGCCTTAGAAAGTCTAGCACCACGTTATCTTCCCTAGTAGGTGGAATTTTAAAAAAAGGCTGGAGACTATCACTAGGCCAGAGGAAAGGCATAAAGGGCAGGGCGCGGCACGCAGAGGGAGGGCAAGGAGGTCTGCGAGAGAGAGCGGTTATCTCCTCAGGCATCTCGGGGGTGGTGGCAATTCATGGAGGTGAAAGGACCCGTCTCACTCCACTGAGTGAAACAGCGTTTTACAAACAGGACATACGACACTGCCAGTTTTTATTTTTAAACATGCATTAATGTATGCCGATGTCAGGACATTAACTTTTAATCTATGACTGAGATGTTGTGCACACACTTTCCTGCTGTTTAAGAGTAGTTTTTGATGTGCCATTTTCAAATATTTCTAAGCCATGTATTAGTCCTTACAGGAAGTACCTGAGGTGGATCCTATTACTGTTCCTCATGTGACAGATGGCAAGAAGCTTCCATGGTGGTTAAATGCCACAGCAGCGCTCACGCCCTGAAAGCCTGTGCCCTAGTCCTTGCCCGCAGCCACTATGCAGCTCTGCCACTGTTCAAGTACGTGACTGTGACCACAGCAGTGGCCCTCGGTACCCGCCCATCTGCCTGGGACGCGAGGTGCACGACAAATAACTCCAGTGTCACACACAACGCACCCCTTCTGAGGCCTGGCTCGGCCTGCATAGTGAGGGCCACAACACGCTCCCCGGCATGCGGGGCCCGTCCTCACTCCTTTGCCAGGATCCAAACGTGGCATTTCCAAATGGACTCACACTTTCACGCCACCCATCAGGAAAACACCACACGGGCACATGATCTGTGTCGGACACAAGCATTTGATTCACTGACTTAACTTGGTTTCTTAACACACATAAAATAGGGACATGAAAACCATACCAACCAATAAAAAACAAAATGAAAACAGCAAGTATGTCCTTAAAGAAAAATACTTTCTGCTCAAGGACTTCAGGGAAAACATGAGTTAAAAGTATGTCATAGGGGAAAATATATTTAAAAGTTTTTGGTTCGATCTAGTTCTCTTAATTTAAAAACATATCAGTGGGGCCGGGGAGATGGCTTAGTGGAATAAGTGTTTCCCTGGCAAGTGCGAGGGCCTGAGTTCAATCCCCGGTTCTGCAAAAAAAAGAAAAAAAAACAAAAAAACAAAAAAACACATCAGTGGCTGGGGAGATAGCTCAGCAGTCTAAGCACCTGCCTGGCAAGCACAAGCACGCAGGCTCGATCCCCGGTGCCGCACGCCATGCTGTCCCGGAAACCCAGGAGCACCATGCCGGCCCCAAAACCGGGCATGGTGGCACATACCTGTAATCCCAGCGCTGAGGAGGCTGAGACAGGAGGATCACTATGAGTCTAAGCTATGTAGTGAGACCCCATATCAAATAAATAAAGATTTTTTAAAAATTTTAAAATCAGTAGCAATTCTTTGGTCCTAATTACTTTTCCTCGTGGCTGATGTTTGGAGGCGCACCCACTGTGGCTGTGCTGCTGTGCTGCCCACGTGCAATAGTGAAAGTACTGTGCTCTGGTCGTGCCTACGTTCAGGAAGGCTTAATTCACGAGGAAAGAAAAATGGCTGGGAATTCACAGGCAACGATCAGTCAGGAAGACCCTTCCGGGGCCAAGAACGGTCACTGACACGCGTCACCACAAATGCTGACCTCAGGAGAACTCTGCACACTACTCAAGCGCTCACCCACCACGAACTCTCCCGGTCAGACACTGGGGCAAAGGTGTCCCCAATCTCTGCCTTGAAACTATGCAAATGAGAGAAGAAAATGTAAGACCGATTAGATTACGCAGCATGATGCAGAGTGCCACGTGGAAGGCCAAGAGGGGTGTGAAGCACCGCGGGCCGCGCTGACTTCAGTGCTGGGATCCCGGAAAGAAGGTAATTTCTCACAGAGAAGGGGGGGGGTCTCACCCAGGGTTCGGCCTTCTTCAGGAAGCGCTGGAGGCTGGTGAGCAACAGGGCCAAGACCTAGAGGCCCCACACTGAAGGGACTGCACGGGCAGGACAGGGGGTCCTGAGGGCCCCAGCCGAGGGGGCTCCAGGGTCCTGCTCGCTTCCCCGACTTGGCACGACAGACTGGGAGCGCCTATGCAGTAGGCACTGAACCAGGAGCTGAGGCACCAGGCGCGGGCTCCCTGAGGAAGGAGCAGGGAGGGCGATGGCGCGTCCCAGGGAACGCTGCCTGCGCTGCTAGGGGCTGGGGGATGCAGCGGGAAGCCCCGGCAGGTCAGCCCTGCCTGCTGTGGCCCACCAGACGAGCCTGCCTCAGGCCCTCCAGCGCCCAGCTCACACGTGCAGCTTTGGAGAGGTGACTGGATCTTGAGCGTGGGACGCTCATCGGCGGATTAGACACTCCTGAGCTTAGAGCCACACTGCCAAGGACGCGGCCCTGGCAGCTGGGCCCGCCCGCTCCCTCCTGCCTTGATCTCCTTCCCGCCTCTTGCCCGCCATGCTAGCAGCAATTCTCCTCTTCCACACTGCCTCCCTTTTAGCCAGCCGACTATGGACTGACCCTCTGCAAGCTGTGAGCTAAGTAAACCTTTCCTGCTTTAAGTTTGGGTGTCCGGTGTTGTGTTACAGCGACGTGAAAATAACGAAGACACTCTTCCCGCAGCCTGTCATGCACCGGGATTTGGGGAAATAGGAACCAGCGACCCAGGCCAGCGCTTGTAAGGCGAAAACTTTTCAGAGAAAATACCCAACCTTAAGTACTGAAAAATGCAAGACTATTTCAGAAAGGAGAAAGGAAACACCCACTCACCTGGGACATGACTTTAAGTTTAGCTCCTGTCCCTGCGGCCTCCGGCCTGAGGTTTCCCTCTTGGAGGACAGGACTCCTGGAAAGCAGCGCTGGGAGAAAGAGACCCAGGCTAGACAAGATTCCCAAGGCACCAGCCTAGCGATGTCCCTTGCGGCATAAACAGGGCAGGGACACGTTAAAGGCACGGGTGGGATCCTGTACTAGCCCTTCGAGGGGCGGCCACTGAGTTGGGCACGGCCGCTCCTCTTTGGGACAGTGGAGGTGAGGGCGTGTGCAGCCAGCGCGACCCTGGAGAACTCTGTCGGGACCTTCCGGCTCCGCCAGTCTCCGGATACCCCCGACTCGCCATCTGGAGGGCCAGGGCCGTCCATCTCCAGCCCCGGGACCCCAGCCCCCGAAGCACGGGCC